AATCAATCTGATTTCGGTATTGCCCACCTGGTGATGTCCATGTGTAGAGTTGCTTCTTGTGTTGTTGGAAAAGAGTGTTTGTGATGACCAGCTTGTTCTCCTGACAAAACTCTATTAGCCTTTGCCCTGCTTCATTCTGAACTCCAAGGCTAAACTTCCCTGTTGTTCCTTTTATCTCTTAGCTCCCTACTTTAGCATTTCAGTCCCCTAGAATGAGAAGAACATCTTTCTTTGGTGTCAGTTCTAGAAGGTGTTCTAAATCTTCATAGAATTGGTCAATTTCAGCCTCTCCAGCATCGGTGTTCGGTGCATAAACTTGGATCACTGTGATGTTGAAAGGTCTGCCTTGGATTCATATTGAAATCATTCTATCATTTTTGGGATTGTATCCCAGTACAGCTTTTCCCATTCTTTTGTTGACTATGAGGGCTACTCCATTGCTTCTTGCCCACAATAGTAGATATGATGATCGTCTGAATTGAATTTGCCCATTCCTGTCCATTTTCGTTCACTGACGCCCAGGATGTCAATGTTTATTCTTGCCATCTCCTGTTTGACCATATCCAGCTTCCCAAGGCTTATAGATCTTATATTCTAGGTTCCTGTGCAGTATTTTTCTTTGCAGCATCGGACTTTCCTTTTGCTTCCAGGCGCGTCCGCAGCTGAGCGTCCTTTCAGCTTTGGCCCAACCACTTCATTAGCTCTGGAGCTACTAATACTTGTCCTCTGTTTTTCCTCAGTAGCATGTTGGACGCTTTCCGACCTGAGGGGTTCATCTTCCTGCGTGATATCTTTTAGCCTTTTGTTTCTGTCCATGGAGTTTTCTTGGCAAAGATACTGGAGTGGCTTGCCAGTTCCTGCTCCAGGTGGATCGTGTTTAGTCATAACTCTCCACTATGACCTGTCCATCTTGGGTGTCCCTGCACGGCATAGCCCATAGCTTCTCTGAATTACTCAAAAACCCTTTGCAACGACAAGGCAGCAATCCGTGAAGGGAAGCAAAGTCTTAATTGCTTATAAATAGACAGAAAATTAATGGCTAAATTCCTGTCCTCATAGCTGTGGACAGTAAGGCTGATGATGTCACCAGCCACAATGATTTTTTAGGAATGAAACATTTCCAGTCCATCTTCCCTCAGAAAATCCTGAGGCTCCTGGGGAATCCTTTTCATCCTAGGGAAGCCATTGGGGCTGCATGAGTGTAGAGGGAAATCTTTAATTTCCAAAAAAAATGGAAGTGGTAAAGTCATCCTACTAGTGATAGTTTTCAGATATTAGAAGACTTCCATTCCATCGCATGGCCCTCAACAGCTTCCCCAGTACAGTGGACCCTCCTCTTACGGAAGTAATCCGTATTGGAACGGTGGCTACAGGTTGAAAAGTCCGTAGGTCGAGTCTCCATTGACCTACAATGCATTGAAAACAGATTAATCCTGTAACCGGCCGTTTTTGTTCCATTTTTGTTCCATTTTGGTTTTTTCCTGATCTATACTTCGATTCTCTGGCTGCAAGTCGAACCTAAATTTTGCAGCCAGTAACTCGAAAAGTCTGTAAGTCGAGGGTCCACTGTACGAAAGAGATCCACACAAAAGCTTTGGGATGTTCAGGGTATGAGTGACTGGAAATTTGTTGTTTCTCAAAAATCACTGCGGCTGATAATGTCATCAGCCTTCCACAGCATAGATGGACAAACAGGACTTCATTTCCATGTGCATTGGCTAATGCATGTATTCTATGCATATTTGGTATTTAAGTGGAGGGGAAAAAAATCTCAGAAAAGTCCTGTGTAGTCGTGCTTATTCTAAACTGAGAACATTCTCAAAGTTCAGTACCTTTGAATGAGTATCTTTAGAGAGCAACAATGCAGGGAAACTCTTAGGTCATCAGTCTGGGTAGGTGCTATTGCCTGATAAAAGCGATATTGAATAGTTGTGGATTCTTTAGATTACCTGCAGAGCCACCTCAATCAGCTAATTAAACGCTTGTGCTTGAGACTTTAGGCAGATGTATGTCAAATAAAGAGAAGAATTGCTTCCACCTTCTTGAATTGCTTCTTGAACCCTCTTCTTCCTGTCTGCCCGTGAGTAGCAGACTCTTCTGCCATAGATGCAGCTGCTTCTTATAGATGCTTGTAAAAGCAGAATGGATGAGCCTCTTACAAGGTACTTCTTCTGACCTTCAGAGAAAGAGATTGATATCGATATGCATTTTTTCCTAGCAATTCCTTTCCTTTTTTTTTCCTAGCAATTTTAGAACCATCTACTTTCATGAGAAGAGTATTGCAAGGGTGTGGGTTTTACTTAAAAATGGCATTTAGCTTTCATTTTAAACTGAATACTTCATCTCCAAATACAACGCCAGGAGCTGAATGTGATTCTTTTGTAGTTTTCTTGCTCATATATTTGTATTCATGTTTCAGGATTGCATTCTCATATTTTCTATGTTAGATTAGTAGAAAGCTGGTGCAGAAACAATACATGATTCATAGAGCATTCAGAGGGCATTGGAGTCAGTATTGTTGGTGGCGATGTGATACATGGATATAGCAGTGGCAGGCACTTATAAGGGAAGAATCAGTGCTAAGCAGCATTAATTGTGGAAAATAACCATTTGGCATTCAGATATTTGTCATTGGCTCCCGCTGAAAGCAACAGTGAAGTAAATGTTGATGTTGGTTAATCATAAGCAAACTCTGAACTGCTATTGTAACAAGGATGAATGTAACTCTTTGGTATTTAAACAAGGCATTTCTAGCCAATGTAGGGAAATATTTTTATTCATGTTTCAAGAACATCTTGTTCACTCATGACTATTCAAGGCTGAATTTAACAGAGTGGAGGATTTGCCCCAGGGGGTTAAAAGAATTTAAGGGGCAAGACATCAGAGGCATATTGTGACATGTTAAATACAGTATATTGGGAACATAAAGAAAGAGCTATTTGGCTGACAAGGTACTTAGAAGAACTGATAGCTTCAAAGTGAATGTGAGTCAATTAGCAATCAGAAATTTTAAAATAGTCTCTCTCAGATTGCTGCTGTGCGATGAAAGACCATTATTGGGCTCAAGGTGGTTGCTAAGGTGTGCAAAGAATAGTGAAATCTTAGTGCTGATGCCTCTGTTGCTGTCAGTTCCAGCCAGAAAAATCCTTGCTCTGCAGGTATATGGCCATTTAGCCCGTAAAGATTCGGAACGTCAACCCTCGATAGTACTTTATTTCACAGATTGATCAAAGGGGTGTTATTTTGTCGTATACAGACGCCCTCTCACCCAGATACACTGGAACAGAAAGTTGAATAGCAGACAAAGGGGGAGGCTACTAAGAAAAAGGGAGAGGGCCGTGATCTGTTTAGGTGCTGGATGCAGGGCAGGAGGGAGAAAGGGATTGTATTATTGGGTGGGAGATTAAGAAAGAAATGACTTTTCTAAGTTTGCCTTGGACAGAGAAAACAACTCTGGAAGTGGTACTGGGCCCTTGAGTTTATGAAAAACTTGCAGATGGCTCTTGGATGTAAGGTCCCTGAACGTTCATGGTTTTTTTTTTACATTGAATTTATATTTGGATAGTCCAGTGACTTTATCTAGTTTAAACATATTTAGTGCCTGTTTTGTTCATTCTTAGGTCTTTTTTAAAAGAGTTAATAGAATCCATTGAGTCTGAAGAAATTGAAGGATTTGTTAGCATTACAGCAACTGTGTACATTGTGGCTTTAATTAAAGGTAAGTGACAATAATTTCACTGCATTTATTGACAGTAGTGCAGATTTCATTCTGATTTCTGGACGTGCTGTCTCCTTTTGATTGTCTTACAATGTAAGCTATGCAATAAATTTATTTTGTATTTAAACATTTATAGCCTGCCCTTTATCATAAAATGTCATTGTACTGATAATTGTTTAAGTAACTAGGAGCTGGGAATACGTGTGAACCGTTCTCACAGAGTATGCAGCAAGGTTCCCTCTAAGATGCATGACTGCATGCATGTGCTCACTCTGCCTCCATGCAGCTTTCCTCTTCTTCCACATAGCCCCTTTGATTCCGGTTGCAATGGAATCCTACGTGTGGGGGGCAAAGTCGAGTACTACGTGTGGGGGAGAAGGAGAGAGAGTGAGAGAGGTAGAACCCTGCCCAGTGGGGCTGAAAATTATAGGGTACAATGGTTGTTGTGGTTTTTTTGGGCTCTTTGGCCGTGTTCTGAAGGTTGTTTCTTCCTAACATTTTGCCAGTCTCTATGGCCAGCATCTTTGTTGGCTAGGGACTGGCTAGTGGTTCCAAAATTTCATGATGGTACAAACCAAATGGACTGGAAAAGGAGCTCTTTTTGCTGAATATGTATTTGTGAGAACTTTAAACATTCATTGGAAGTAAGTGTAAAGTCATGCATATCAGGGTAAATATTGAGCCTTCACATACACTTAGATGGTGACTGAAATTGTTATGACTAACCAGATCTCGGAGTCATGATGGATAACTGAGTTAAAATACCAATTTCAGTGTGCAGTGGCAGTGGGAAAGGCTCATTCTAGGGATTATGCCAAGGATGATTAAGAAAGAGGTAATAAATAAAACAGGTCAACTCATGCAGAACAACTTGCACAGTTTAAGCAAAACCAAAGTCTTTAGTTGCTAAAAATCTAGTAAACTCTTTTAGGAACATAGAAAACTTCTGCCTTACCCCAGATTACACTATTTGTATTTGGTGTTCAACATATCTTGCTTTTCCGTAGGCAAACATAGGCTTTCACTTGTAAAGGATATCGCATCTGCCCTTCAAAGAAAGTTAAGTTCATGCAGTGATATTACCAAGGATGATGATAGCAGTGTGCAAAGGTAAACTTTTGGAGGATTAAGTATTTTTCCCTAAAATCTGACTTTAGATGCTGCCTAATGCATGATTTCTATGAAATCAAAATGAGAAAGCTTGGTCTTAACACGTTACATTTTATAGTCTCGTTGGGTTTGTGGGCAGGAATAAGTTCCATATTTGGCATCTTGATAAAGACATAAGTGCTTTTCACACCTTGCAGTGTTTTCCAGCTAGCTGTTGATAACATAAATAATCTTCAGTAGGAACAAACCAGCTTTTTGATGGGTATTCTAGCAGAAACTATGGATTGCTTAGTTCAGACAAACCATAGTTAAAATGTAACCACAGTTTAGGTTTGGGATGAAGCTAAGCTTGGACAAAGTGGAAATGGAAAAGAAAATATACAATCCATGCTTTCCCAACTGTGCCAGAGTATGTGGTGTGTAACTTGTTCTTAACACAATAAACTGTAACCTAGGATGGTATCCAAATACAGTATCTTCCTCAGCGTGAGTTCATGCCAACATGGATCCATCAAGGAAGAAAACATGTATAGGAAAAGAGGCCATATTTTGTAGATTTCCTTATGGCTCATTCTTGTGTATACGTGAGTGCTGGTGGTGGTGGTGGGGAATAAGACATCCAGCATATGGGGCTGCATGCAGAGTCGTTCTTGTTAGAAGCTGTGCATTTTTGTAATCATTTCTTTGATACCTGGATAACCATGAATAAAATGTGCTTCTGGTGAGGCAAAGGGGGATCACTACATTAGGGCCTTGATGAGGGAAGATAAATTTAAGCACTGCTGCTCTTGCTAATAGTGCTGAGAAACAAATTAAATTCTAATTTGACATTCAGCCTTTTGCATAAGAACATCAGAAACGTCATACTAAGCAGATGTTTGAGTTGATGAGAAACAATATTTGCTTATTTGCCAGTCATTCGTATAACTTAATGCAGCTGCTCATTGCTGTTTTTTCTTTCCCCCAGAGCCTTGTGTGAAGCTGCTATGCATATTTTGGATGAAATACTGAGTCCTTGACCGAATAACTATTTACAAGTCAAGAAAATGGGAAACAATATATATTCACTCCTTCCAGAGAGAACCTGATTATTTAAAATGTCCAGCATATTGTCTTTGATGGAAGAACAAAGCTATTTTGATCAGTGCTGCCTGTGATTATTGGCACACATAATATTTAAAAGCAAACTTGTATGTTTATTTTATAATATTGTCAGAAGCACCTTTAGAAGCTCAATATTTTTGTACATTGTATTAAATATTCTTAAAAGAGTTAGCTTTTGTATGCACTTCTCCTTTCTCATTCTCTCTCTTACATAGACAAACACACATAATTTTTCTCTTCTTTTAATAACATCTTAAATACTCTGTATTATAGCTTTTTTAAAATAATGGTGTTAGATATATGAGATTCATCTATTCACTGCAAAAATAACACAACCAACTGTTAAGTAAGAAATGGCATAAAGGATCTTTAAGCACATTTTATATACCAGTACTGAATATTGAGTACTTTTTAATAGGATGGAAGTAGAAATGCCTACATACATGTAGTTCTGTTGTCTATGCATGTTTTTAAAAGTTACTGGGAAAGGTCATTATTACTCCTTGCCTGCCTTGTTTCATCAAGCTCTCTTGGATGAAAGCAATGCCCTGGATCCATTTCAGTCGGGCTTCAGGCCGCACCATGGTACAGAAACGGCACTGGTCGCACTGTTGGATGACCTGTTGAGGGAGGCTGACAGGGGCAACATGTCTCTGTTGGTCCTCCTCGATATCTCAGCCGCCTTCAATACCATCCACCACGGTATCCTCCTGGGGAGGCTCTCCGAGTTGGGAATCGGTGGCCGGGTGCTTGCCTGGCTCCGTTCCTTCTTGGAGGACTGTCCCCAGAGAGTACAGCTTGGGGAGAGTGTTTTGGCCCCGTGGAGTCTCAACTGTGGGGTTCCGCAGGGCTCGATTATCTCCCAAATGCTGTTTAATATCTATATGAGGCCGCTGGGTGGGTCATCAGGGGGTGTGGGGCTTTGTGCCATCAGTACGCTGATGACACTCAGCTTTACATCTCCTTTTCACCTATTTCAGTGGATGCCGTTCTGTCCCTTCAGCGCTGTTTGGAGGCCATACTGCAATGGATGCAGCTGAATGGGTTGAGGCTGAACCCGGACAAGATGGAGGTCTTGAGGGTGGGTGGCCCCTCCATCGGCGGTTTGGGAAACTCCCTCTCTTTTGGGGGGGTGACTGCTCAGGAGCGATTGGAAGGATAAGCAGGGCCGCTGCTGCTGGCGGACATGGGAGTGAATGGTTTGGTTCCAGGGGCTGGATGCTTATTAACTCCAGTTGTGTGGGGATATTTGTATACAAATATAATTACCCCCCATCTTTACCTGTAACACATGATCTTACCACAGTTGTCTGTGTTCACATAGAATACATGTTGAGGAAAAGGCAATTAAAATTGGAGAAAGCCAGGGAATAATGTTTTCTGTCTTGGAGTCTTCAAGGAATTGGGGAGGGGGGAAACATGTATGAAATATTTGAATTTGAGATCAGATGCTTCCACAAAGTTTTGCTCAAGAACATTTAGTATGACTGTTTTTTGTAAAACTACTGCACTGGAGAATGGTAGTTCCTTGACAGACCGTAGAGCAGGGTAGAACACACTTTGGAGTGGGAGGAAGACGACTGGCGGGGAAAGCAGTAAAGGGTTGCATAGCCTTGCAAAAGTCTTCACCAAAGACAACTAACCAGGAACAGCACGAATAATAGTAAATTGGAGAACCTGCTTCTGGGAAAGAGTGAAAAAAAATATGGCTTCCGAATCAACAGCAAAAGGAGTTTTGTGTTTTTCTGGGATCCTTGGTAGAGGATGAGTGAAAAATGCAACCAGGAGTCACTAATTTGTGTATAATGCAGCATTTGCCTAGTGTTGAGTAAAGGGAGTAAAATGAATGGAAAGAGTAGCATGGCATCCCATGGACCGCCCTACACCAGATAGCCTTCTTCCTATAGGATTTCTTAGCTTTTGCTTCCTCCATGCCTCTTTATACCCCACCTATGCCCGCCTTTTCCTTTCTCCAGTTTATTTCTGCTTTTTCCTTCCCCACATATTGCCTCCCACAAGGCTCCGTTTCTAGCAGGACTCTCCCTTTTTTTTCTGATGCCTCCTTGGACATGAAGGTGAAACCCAGTGATAATAATCTGGAAGCAACATAAAATGAGGAGTGCCTTCTGTTCTATTTGCTCTGTTTTCTGCTAATAAGATGCTCTGGCAATTGCAGTTGGAGGGCTAGCACACAGGCAGGGGGATCTATGAGGAAAGTGGTTGATGGGACACCAACAGGAGCATTTTCAGGAACATTGGTAGAGGAACTTCAAGGGAATGCTTGGGGCCCTACACCGCCCATGAGGGAGTGCTTTGGATCACATATGAGCTGCAAGTTCCTGATCTGTACTACAACCATAACAGGACTCGAATTCAAGTTCCTCAAGACTTCTGCACCTGTGAGGTGTCAATATAGGACTTTTTTAATGGTTGTGGATTTCTGCTTGTCTTTAATCAAGTTTGAGATACTAGACGGAAATATCCTCTGGGGTTTTGTTTTTTGACCCTCCTATCCTTTGTGGGTTTGTTTGTTTTTACATCTTCCCTCCAATAACTAGAAGAAAACTTATGGCAAAAATAAAGTGTTTAATTTTTTTTACTAGCATACCTTGCTTTCTATCACTTGTTCTTTTTTTTTCATCCATGGTATAATACAATGGTTATTGTCTGGAAGTGTTGCAATTGTAATGGTGAATTTGCTGCTGTTTGACAGCCAGAACATGATCCCTGCTTTCACTGGCAGCATCAGCATGCATCTAAGAACCATTGCCATCACCAGTGAGCATCCTTCTGGGAGGAGATGGTACAGTCCTCTGAGACGTTCTATATTGGTACCAGTGCTGCCATCGAGAGCATGACTAATGCAGAATGCCAACACACACACACACACGAATGAATGAAGCAGAAGTCTCTCAAATGGAGTAATTTTGTTTACCACTTTTTTAAATAAATGAAGCAATATGTCTTGTTGCCCAACCAAAGGTGAGACGGACAGGGACACAAGGCCACTAAGTTAAGACTCATAAATTAATTGCGTCTGCACTTTGTGTCTCATTTGCACTTTTCTGCTAAATGCTTGTATTGCTGGTTGGCAAAATAGCAACTTCAGAGACTTATAAACACCCTGTTTCCTAGCAGGCAATTCCTGGTACTGAGGTCTTAATCATCCAGGATTGATGCAAGTAAGGCTGTATACATCAATAAACAATCTAAGGGGAATCCAGAAGTAGAACCAAAAACTTAAAAAAAGGTCAATGTAGGAGAGTTCTCCCAGTGACTCAGGCAGACCAGATTCAGAGGATCCAGGGTCAAGCAGAAGTCCAGGGTTCGATTTCAAAAAGAGCAAGCAGACAAGAGTGATCTAAGAGCCAAATGAACTACTCCAAGATCAGACACTGGTGGATCAATCACACGAGCCAGATGATGCAGTCTAAAGAGGTCATCATACAGCTTGCTTCTTGCCTTCTAGCCTCCTAGGACTAAGGAAGCAGATTTCTGGGGCCCAGACAAGCGTTACATTGCGGAGCTGCCTGGGCCCCACCCAGAGTTCATCTGTAGGCATTTCAGTCTCAGGGAAAGATGGACCACTCTCTTGCACAGTTTCCTTAATGCCATGGAAGCCTCTACTTACAAGTCCACCCTTGTTGAGGCTTTTGCCTGATAACCTTGAGCAGATGGATCATGTATTTTCTTAGAGACTTTTCTGACTTCAGGGTCACAGTGTTTTTAGTGTGTAAGCCTCCTGTATCCCTAAGGGTCTTGAGTCCACATATGCAGATGCCTCTTCAAACTCAGAAGCCTCAGACATACCCTTTATTGAGTCCTCCGGCAGGGATAAAAGTCTCTGGGTGTGTGCTTGGCTTTTGTTGTTGGTTTTGTTTTGTTTTTTTGCAAATAATCTCTTGTTACCAGTCTAACAACTGAGATCACGACTAAGGATCTACTGGTCTGTCTAAAGTAGGGATTTGAAATGTTGAAATACCACAATGGGAATATAGTGAGTGAAATTGAAATGTTTGCTATTTCTACTTTAATCAACTTATATTTAATATATAAAGAGCATGGAATGTGTAACTTGTTATATAAAATTGTGCCATAACTCTCAAGAGTCTTGGTTTTAATGAAATAATAATTTTAAATGGACCTAAAATAAAATAGGTACATTTTAAATATTATTTGATTAATCCCTATTTTTTTTTGAAAATACAAAACATTCATGCACGAGAGCAAAACTATTGGTCTATTTAATCCAATATTGACTACTTTATCTGCAGAGAAGGGATCTGTTATCAAAGATACTTTCTATAATTTTCTTAGTTAATATTTATACATGCTTAAGATGAGAGATGCTGACTACAGTTCTAAGCAAGCTTTCTACTCAGGAGATTTAATTTTGAGCTTATTTGATAACAATCTAGGGTTTTTCATTTAATGTTTCCAGAAAGAGAAATATTTCTGTATTAGGATGCCCCATACATCTTCTTGGCATTTGTCTCCTTTAGTCTTCTGCTGATGTAAACAAAATTTTAGAAATCTACTACCAATGAAGCTACATCACTAATCTAAAACAAAATAATCTGAAATTGTTTCCCTTGTATATACTGTGACTCTTGTTCTTAGTTTTTGTTCCTTTGAATGACTAATGGAAACCATTCTGATTCAAAATGAGTCTATTGTTCATACTGTCAAGAAGGAGCATTATCTGCAGATTTGTGGGGCTAATCGTTTCTGTATTCTGAACAGAATTGGTTGGAGATTTTCTCTGGTACTTCTTTACTTGAACTGGTGATAGCCACAAGGAGGCTTGTTTCACAGAAACACTAAATGTGTGAATATTAATTTTTTTTAAAAAAATTCCCCCTCTTGTATTTTTATGTAATACGAAATAAATCTGATTTAGATTCCACATCTGGAAATATGGGGCATTCTTTTAGCTACTTGACATTAGTTATGCTTGGGTAGATTTCAATCTGAGGATTCTGACAATATTTAGAAATGTGAAATCTGCCATCTGTACAATTAAACTTTCAACCTTATCTTTTGTAGGTAATAATATAGTCAAGGAGGATTCTGTTACTGACTTTGAGACAAGATAGTGCCTCTGAAAATCAGTCCCACAAACCTAGAAGGGAAGTAGTTATGAAACTATTCCCTGGTCTTATGTGGACCCA